AGGAGATACTCCGTCAACGCGTCTGGAGGCTCTGCACATTGGCCACCCGGGAATTGTCAAAATGAAGGCATTGGCTCGGTGTTACGTCTGGTGGCCTAACATGGACGATGCCATCACTGCCTGGGTGTCCACCTGTCAAGCGTGCCAAGAATCGAGGCCTGCACCACCGGCAGCTAAGGGACACACCTGGGAGATGCTAAAGACACCCTGGTCGAGGGTGCACATCGATCTGGCTGGCCCCTTTCACGGCTGGATCTTTATGGTAGTGGTGGACGCCTATTCCAAATGGCTGGAGGTGGCCCTGATGCCCTCCACCACTACCGAGGCCGTCATCCGGGTGCTGTGAGGCCTGTTTGCGACGCATGGGTGTCCTGATGTCCTTGTCTCCGACAACGGACCGCAGTTCAGTCAGGCACTTTTGAGCGGTATCTTTTGGACTGGGCATCCGCCATGCCCTAACGGCACCCTTTCATCCACCCAGCAACGGGCAAGCAGAGAGAATGGTGCGCTCGGCAAAAGAGCACTGGCAGCGCTGGACCGGGGAGACTGGCACGAGCGGGTCGCTGAATACTTGTTCGTGCAACAACACACCCTCATGCGGCCACAGGGTGGAGTCCTGCTGAATGCTTATGGGCCACCGCCTCAGGTCACCGCTCGACCGGCTGCACCCGGACTTTGCCGTGGCCGAACCCCCAGGCTGTGCCATTTGTTCCAGGAAACCAGGTCTTTGCCCGGAACTATGTGGGGGACATTCCTTGGGTGCCAGCCACAGTAGTGGGAGTCACTGGACCTCGCTCGTACAGGTGGCACTCGAAGACGCGACGCTTCTGTGCTTCGCATGCTGAGGAAACCTTTGGATTCCACCCTGGACATCTCCAAGCAGTGCTGGGGAAAATGGTCGCCTGCAGTGCTGGAGAGATGCCGCCCCTCAGTGCAGACCATACTGAGCTAGGCAGACAACAGCTTCCTAAATTTATATTTTTCATGTCTTATTTGAAGGCGGAGAGCGTGAGGGCAAGATGTTTTTTAAAAATAAAGTTTCAGATAACTTATTGGTCCCATTCACACACAACAGTAAATATTTGGCTTTATATTACATCAGAGCTGGGAACTCATAATTTATTTCACTCAAGCAAACTGCAGTTGGGAAGTCAAGAACAAACATTGGCTTTACTTGTGGCTTTTTAGGAACAAAACAAATCACTGAAATGTTTTTGGATATAATGTTAGGCCAGGAATCATTGTTTATTGCTCCCACCTGCATTGCAGCAAGAGCATAGAGGGAGCCACGTGTGTGTTTGTGGTACACCGTTAAGCATGGAAACAGCTGGGAATCCTCCAGGCAAGCAGATTCTGAGTCATGCTTGAGATTCCCAGAGGGACAGGGTGGATGGTGCAGAGTGTACGGGCACAAGCAGGTCCAGTTGTGTAGGAAAATGCTGACTAGATACAGGACTGTCAGGTCCCTGGAGGGAGAGTATTGCAAGAGTCTCAGCACCAGCTTAAATCTTAAATCCCTCCTCATCTGACTTCCCCTCTGTTATGTACTGAGCTTGAATCCTAGAAAAATAGGCTGGTAGGATCCTAGAATGCAACAACCTGATTGGCCAACAGGAGCACCCAAAAGTAGTATATTTCACCACCCACCTTGCTGCAGAGGGAAGTCTTAAAAGGAGCATACTCAGGCCTGGGTATAGCCAGGGCAGGGCGGGGGGAGAGCTCCCCCCTCAATCAAGTAAGTAAATAAAAATACTTAACTAAAAGTAGAAATTGTAGAAAGATTTTGACAGATTTTCCTGAGCACTTGGGTGTGGGGAGCTCCAAGCTGGCAGCATTCTTGGCTCTCCTTGGTGGGTGATGGCACCATTGGTGGGATTTTAGCTGGCCCTCTTCCCCCACTGCTTCCAGGCTTGCTTGCGTATTGTGGTACCCCAATTGTCTGAAGGGGGCCTATGAGTTGGGGACCTTGTTCAGAGTCAGAATCAAGGAGATCTCTACACCAAGAAAGAGTTCCAGAGTAAACTGTCTTTAGACTTGTTAGCAAAAACAGTTGTACATTCAAATCAACACATTACTGTTAAACAACTAGGAATGCAGTTCAGCTTTTTTTAGGTTCTTGCTTGTTAATTCATGCAAGTCCTTCAATGTGCTTGCTCGCTATGTGAAAATTCACTAATCCAAAGATAAAGAATCATGCCCCGACCTCACTATACACTTTGCACAATCAGATATCCAAACAGCCAGTTTGCCCACTTCCTTCCTTCCTTGCTTGCTTGAGCTTTGCTGGTTCGCAGCAGCCATATTAGGGCAGAAACCATGTAGGGCTGGGAGAGAGATCCGACAAATCAGCTTTTCCTTTATCTCTCTTTTGCTGGTTGGCTGCAGCTATTTCAGGAAGAAACCGTGGAGGGCTGCAGGAGAGAGATTGGACAAATCATGGATTAGAAATGTTCCCATAGGAATCATAGAAATAGTTGACTCTTTGTGTGAATGCTCGATCTAATGAACAATTTCCAGGAACCGCGTTGTGTTAGGGTAGTGGGACCCGTGCAGAGTCCAAGTACTATTCTCCCTCTGGTCCCAGAGAGCCATTTGGATAAGCAAGTTCATTAGGTAACATTTTGCAGCTTTAGCTGCACAAGTACCTTTTGCACTTGCTACAGTTCTCTGAAAAAAGCAGACACTCTGCAAATGCAAGCCACCACATAACATTTTATACACATTGAACATATATCCTTTACATAAGTTTGCACTGAAATCAAGGAGACAAACTAATAATGAGTTTCTATTGAAATCATATAGCGGTGTAATGTCACCAGCCTTCATTTCTATCCAATTTGTTTATGAATAAATTTTGTTTATATATTATTATTTATTAATAATAATAAATATAATATAATTTCATATATTTATATATGTTTATATACTATATAAATTTGTTTATATACTAATTTAGTAATACGTATAGTGTACTTCTGATAATTTTGGAATAAATGGATCTCTAATAGCTACTCTTTTTCTTTCTAGTTAACGGTCTACTGACAATTGGATTAGCAGGTAAGAGGGGTAAGAATCTGCATGTTTCTGTTTGCTCTTGTTCCTGATGTCTCTTTTATAAAGGAAACTTTCAAAGTATTGATTTCTGGTGCCTTCACTGGGCTTTTTGATTATGTGCTGAATTAAGAAAGATGGCAAACTGATTATATTTCAGGGTGGCAAGCTTGAAGCTTTTACATACAAACTCGAAATGTTTGCCAAGAGCTGCTTTAGAAACACAATTTCCCCCTACCTTGAGAGGTAGCATGTGTGAAGTCTGGTATGAAGTGCTCTTTATTTTTTCTATGAGTGCTGTGACTGGGACTTTGACATGTATCTCCGTATGCAAAGGAAAAAGGAAAAAGCCAACCATACTTCACAAATGAGGGTTTTCACATTTCTCCTATACAGATTAATATGAAGCGGCCACAATGATGGGATGGATTGGTGCCATTCCCATAAACAGGTCTTCTGCATAGAGCTGGAATGGCAAGGTTGGCCTTTGATTGTATGGCCTCTCTTGCACATAGACACATTCACAAAGAATGATCTGGATTGTTGCATATGCTGAAGCAAATGTCACTCAACAGTGACAAATCATACTATCAAATAAGGGGCCTGATCCTGTTGCTTTTAATGCCTGAATAGGGCAAAACAGTGACTTGAATCCCAGGCAGGGGGTGCCGACTTGCCCCAACATTGGGGGCGTGGTCATGTGATGCTGCCTGGTGTGCGCTGGGCGGGGGCTATCTTTTGTTTCACTCGTCCCAGCTGCAGTTTGGCTCCTGGGCTCCCAGGCTGCGGCTGGGAGGAGCAAGTGCAGAGATTGCCCTCTGCACTTGTCCCAGTCACCTCCTGGCTCCTAGGCTGATGGCCGGAGGCTGGGGCGTGCAGAGGGCACCTGGCAGTGGCAGGAAGTAATAGCCCC